TCCGATGGGAAGCTGTGTGTGCAGGGGTCAGCGTTGCAGGTTCTGGAGCAGATCCAGCAGCCCGTGGTGGTGGTGGCTGTGGTGGGTCTCTATCGCACCGGGAAGTCCTACCTGATGAATCGACTGGCCGGGAAACAAACAGGTCAGCAGCACTGATGCCATCCAAACGCTCGAGCTGTTCAAATGAATGCATGCAAGTCATTGTGGGGTTTCTGGTGTGTGGTTATCAGGGTTTGCACTGGGCAGCACAATCGAGTCCAAGACGAAGGGCATCTGGATGTGGTGCGTGCCTCACCCCACTAAAGCAGAAACCACTCTGGTGCTGCTGGACACCGAGGGACTCGGGGACGTGGACAAGGTGAAGTAACAAATTTACCAAATTACTAGTGCCCAAGGGTCCAATAACACTTTCACTTCTGCAGCAGAGATAACCTTAAAGGTGACCTTTTATGCCCCTCTTTACAATATGTAAAATTAATCTCTAATGTCCCCAGAGTGTGTACATGAAGTTTTAGCTCAAAATACCCCACAGTAGAGCCCTGCACGGGCTCCAGCCGGGCCAAAAGGCTATAAAGGAAGCGTTTACAATCTCACTCCCCCATGACAGCTCGAGGGCGCAAGAAATCACAAGATGCATTGGTGAATATATAGCCAAAGACCTACAGCCATTCTCCGTGGTGGACAGCGAAGGTTTTAGGAGATTAGTAAACACACTCGAGCCAAAATATAGAATCCCATCACGGCCATACTTTAGTCAAACGATATTACCAGCTCTCTACAAAGAGACAAGGGCTAAAGTTGTACAGAGCCTAAAACAAGCGGAGTGCATCTCACTCACCACAGATGGGTGGACTTCACAAGCTACTCAGGGTTATGTTACTATCACAGCATGTTATGACAGGTGAATGGGAGATGAAAAGTTTTGTCCTACAGACACAGGCTCTCTTTGAGTCACACACTGGACACAACATAGGCGAGGTGTTAAAATCCGCTGTTTCAGAGTGGGAGCTAGACATGACGAATAACAACAATCACCCGGGCACCGCTGTTGTTAGTGACAATGCAAGAAACACGGGTGTAGCGGTGAAAGAGGCTGGTCTGTCCCCACACATAAAGTGTTTCGCTCACAGCTTAAACCTTGCTTCCCAGGCAGGTTTGAAGGTAAACCGTGTGAGTCATCTGCTTGGAAGAGTGAGGCGTGTAGCAACGTTTTTTTCACCGCAGTTCAACTGCCACAGCTATGCTGACCTCCAAGCAGCATATGTTAAACTTGCCAGTACATAAACTCATAATGGATGTAGTAACACGATGGAACAGCTCACTTGACATGATTGAGCGCTACCTGGAGCAAGAACAGGCAGTCGCTGCAGCCCTTCTGAGTGTTGAAGTCAGGCGCAACGCTCATGAAATAGACACTCTAGACACAGTGGAAGAAGCAGCACCGGGTAGCATGTAGTTGGACAGCTGGAGTCTGAAATTGACCTGCCACAACGAGAACATGCAGCTGTGGGGGGTGTCTCTTCTCCATCCAAAAAGACTGCTCTTGAAGATTCTATTCAGGTGGACAGCAGAAGACAGCCAATGGCTGAGATCGAAGCAGACAATGACTCGTACCACAAAGAGACCTCTATCTCACTCTCCGCTGGTCCTCTCGAGTGGTGGAGAAGCAACTCACATCATTACCCACTGCTGTCAACCTTGGCCAAGTTATATTTCTCTGTCCCAACAACCTCAGTCCCAAGTGAGAGGGTTTTTTTGACAGCAGGGGACATTGTAAATCCCCAGAGATCCCAGCTTCTACCTGAAAATGTTGATATGCTCATTTTCCTATAAAAAACTGTCTCAGAGTGAGTGAGCGAGTCTGTGAGTAAATGAGTGAAAGAGGTGAGTGGGCGAATGTGTGGGTGAATCAGTGAGTGAGCTTACATACTTATTCAGCTCTAGGTCCAGCTGCAATAAGTAGGCTGCTATTTTTATTTTTACTGGGTTGTTTTGTTTTCAAGAATTGACCCATCTCAAAGCCCACCCTCTTGTCTTGACCCTTCATTCACAATTGTTGCTTTCCTAGCACAACAAAGCAACAGCATGTGATTGGAGGCAAAAGAAAAGAGGCCTTAAAATAGGTCAATTGAGGGAGTGACTCACAATCCTCAAAACCCGATTGTCTGAGATACTGGAAAATTGACTGGTTTTTTTTTTGCACTTAAAAGTTGATACCTAATCTATGAGGTAGTTAGGCAGTAGCATAGAGAATGTTAGAAAAATAATGATGTTACCTGTTACCTCATACTATACCTCATACCTCTAAGAAACCGTTATGATTAGAGGATAAACAAAAGAGGACAGGATATAATGTGGTTAATTTGTTCATCATTGTAATGTTCAATCACTGTTTAATAAACACTTATGGTGTCTTCATTTGTCTTTTTTTATATTTAAATATCACAATAAATATTGTATCGTCAACTCAATATCGTGATATTATCGTATCGTGAGATTTTGATATCATTACGTCTCTATTACATAGTATTACAGATAGTCAATCTAAAATGGTGACTGTGCAATAACAGCTGTCAACCAGCTTAGTATGCAAATGAGTGTCCAGACTTATTTTCCAAGTGCTTTTTTTTTTTTTGGTTGTGCATTCAGCATGTTGTTGGCTTTTGAGAATGGACAGATGTATTCAGTCTAGTGCTAGCTTGCTAGTTTGCTGTAAAGTCCAGGCCGGGACATCTCGACCTGCTTAAATGGAGCACTAAATGTTATAGCTGTGTGAGTACCTTTCATCGAGTTGAATATGAATGCAAATTCAAGGCTATTTCCAGTTTATTATTCTAACTTCACAAATGTGGTTCTGCATCTTAGGGGGACTCGAAGCATGACACAAACATCTTCTGTCTGGCTGTGTTACTGAGCAGCACTCTGGTCTTCAACAGTCAAGGGATGATCGACAACAGGGCTGTAGAGGAGCTGCAGTATCCTTCTGAACATTTATCTAGATTTTAATTAATTAATTCATTTATTTATTTGTTTATTTGCAAAAGAAAGATATTGTTCAGATGTTTACCACCATTTTACACAGGAAAAATGTACAAATGTGCTTGCTTTGTGAATGCTTTATATAAAAAATATATTTATATAGTTACATGTACTACAATGTAAAAACATGACTGGCAGAAGTTAGATATATAGTTCAGTCATGAAACTCTAGATGGCGCAGGCTGATGGGTTGTTAACGTAACTGATGATATTCAGAGAGTTAAACGACTTGGCACAAGCTGATTGGTTCATGATGCATATGCAGCCATTTAGCTTACTGCCTTGTATTTATACGGCTGGCTAGCATACACTAGAGATTCCTGCAGCGCGCTTTCAGAGTTTCTCTGAAACCCTCCACCTTCCCCAGCTCCACCTGTATAGATCTGCTACGGGTTATTTTATATGCTATTTGTGTAGCAGCAGCATGTCTTAAATACTCACGGCACCGTATCGGCGTATGCATTGCCAGTAGCAAGTTGCTGTACTTGCTTGCAGCAGCAGCAATAATCTACAACTACAGCAATTACCAACAGCAGCAGCAATTCAGCAGCAGCGTAGCAGATCTATTCCGCCAAGACCAAATATAATAACATTGTCATATCCATCACCATGCTAAAATCTTCAGAGAGTTATGATTGAATTAATTTTAATCGCAATATTCCTTATAATATTATATTATAATAATTTAACATCAATTAAATTATTGCCCTTAAACTGGTTTGGGCATTTTTTGTATTTGCTAGTTCTGGAAACAGACACAGTCTCTATAGTATGATATCTAGGTGAAGGATTCTCTATGTATATTTACATTTCCAGAGAGACTGCCTGCATTTAAACAGAGATTGCTGATCCATCATCTAAACAATACTCAGCGACTTGAGCAGGATCTGAGTGGGTGTTATATAGGGTGTGTAATCGCTTTCAGGTGAGCGTGTGATTGGTTACAGCTGTGTGCAATCAGTGCAATGGATGATGGGAACTGCAGTCCAGGGTAATGTGTAACAGTCTGTGTGGTGTGAGAGTCAGTATAATGGGAGCGCGACCTCTGGTGGCAATTGGATGGAAGGCCACGGACCGGATTTGTGACAGAGCCCCCCCCCCAAGGAGCGGCTTCCAGACGCTCAAAACCCTTTACGATTCCGGAGGGCGGGGGAGGGGAGGCGGAACAGGGGGAGGGATGGAGGGCCAGGTCCAAGGATAGGAGAGACCAGGGACTGAGGCAGAACCGGCGGAGCTGAGGACCACCACAGCAGAGCCGACGGGACCAAAGATCCTGAGCGTGTGATTGGTTACAGCTGTGTGCAATCAGTGCAATGGATGATGGGAACTGCAGTCCAGGGTAATGTGTAACAGTCTGTGTGGTGTGAGAGTCAGTATAATGGGAGAGCGACCTCTGGTGGCAATTGGATGGAAGGCCACGGACCGGATTTGTGACAGAGCCCCCCCCCAAGGAGCGGCTTCCAGACGCTCCTAACACTAAACGATCCAGGTGGGCGGTGGAGCGAAGGCGGAACAGGGGGAGGGACGGAGGGCCAGGTCCAAGGATAGGAGAGACCAGGGACTGAGGCAGAGCCGGCGGAGCTGAGGACCACCACAGCAGAGCAGACGGGACCGAAGATCCCCACGGCGGAGCAGAAGACCACCGGAGCCAAGCGGCTTCCAGACGCCCCCAACACAATACCATCCAGGAGTGTGGTGGAGCGGAGGCGGAACAGGGGGAGGGACGGTGGGCCAGGTCCATGTGGAAATAGAGAGACTGGGGACTGAGGCAAAGCCGGCAGAGCAGAGCACCAAGTCGGAGTAGGGAACCAGGGCAGAACAGGGAGCCAATGCGGAGCCAGTGGAACAGAGGACCAGGGCGGAACATAGAGCCAGAGCGGAATCGGCAGAACAGGTGGAGCTGAGGACCACCACAGCAGAGCAGACAGGTCCGGAGATCCCCACAGCGGAGCAGAAGCCCACCAGGGTGAAGAAAACAAAGCAGGAGCCCACCAGGGTGGAGCAGAAGACCTCCACGGCAGAGGAGACCGAGTAGAAGCCCACCAGGGCGGAGCAGACGGAACAGGAGCCCACCAGGGCGGAGCAGACTGAACAGGCAGAGCAGAAGACCACCAGAGCGGGACAGAAGACCACCAGGCTGGAGTAGATACCCATGGCAGAGACTGGGATCTAGGGAAAACTGAGACACACAAGACAGACAGAGCATTTATGGCCTCAAAGGCCAAGGCAGAACACAAAAAGTTAATTAATAGTTTCCCAGGTGACAACTGAACGGGCAGACAGTTCATAAACAGGCTCATTGACTGAAACTGAACAGGCTGACAATTCACACTCAGGCTCATTAGTAGAAACTGGACAGACAGATAATTCAGAATCGGGTCCATTAACAGTGACCGGACGGACAGACAATTTATAATTAAATGCATTGGCTGGAATAGGACTGGCAGATAGTTCACAATCAAGAGCATTGACAGAGGCTGAAGTAGACAGTTCAGTGACAGAAACTGGCAAGACAGACAGTTAAAAATCAGACTCATTGAGGGAAACTGGACTGGCAGGTAGTTCACAAACATATTCATGGGCTGAAATCCCATATAGACTGACAGCTCAAAATTTGTTGTATTAACTGAAGCTGGACTGGTAGACATTTCAGTGACTGAAACTGGACAGACGGATGGTTCAACAACAGACTCAATGACTAAATCAGGACTGACAGATAGTTCAAATTCAGACTCAACAGAAGCATTTAGACAGACAGCTCAGGTTTAGATTCTTTGACAGAGACAGGCAAGACAGACAGTTCGAAATCAGAGACATTAGTTGAGACGAGACGGAGAGACAATTCACAATCAGCCACCATGGCTGGTTCAGAAAAGGGCGAGGGTTCAGAGATGGCCTCCTCAGCCAGTTCAGAGTAGGACAAAAGTTCAAAAGTGGCTTCCGTAGCCGTGACAGGACAGGCAAAGAGCTCACAGACAGCCTCCATAGCCGTGAGAGGACAGGCAGAGGATTCACAGACGGCCTCCATAGCCATGACAGGACAGGCAGAGAGTTCACAGACG